GTCCTCGGACTTGAACAGCACCCTGGCAGGACAGAGGAAGGAAGCTTCCAGGCTCCCTGGATGGACTTCCATGTAAACCACACTCCTCCCATTGCCCCCAGGCCCTGCTGCTCAGCTCCCAGAGTCCCCCTACTGGCCATGCTTTTGATAATCTTCTGTGTGTAAGCATGGAGATACAATTCAACAGGTTCTAATTATTATCTCCACAAAATCGCCTTTAAAGATCGTCTGGGAGGCATTGTTTATAAGGTTGTTGGAAGGGCTTTTGTTTGTTTGGTTTCTGGTGTATCTGGACAATTAAATCTGGGTTCTCATGGGGTAGGCAAGGTCACAACATTTATAGGTTTTAACATTAAAGAATAACTCCATGTAAGATATTTCTCTCCCTACGCTTATGCCCCATAAGGATATGCATTTAAAGACATTAAACAATCGGGTGATACATGCCTGTCATCCTAGCACTTGGCAGGGGAAGGCAAGCGAACCTGTTGAAGGCTAGCCTGGGCTAAAAAGCAAAACAAATTGGAAGACGATTGTTTGGCTTGAACTGTTTCGGGGGGCACCCAGGCAGGGGGATCGGGATCTGTCCCTGGTGCGTGGGCAGGCTTCTGGGAATCCGGTGCTTGTGGTGTGATGTCTGGCATAGCCTTGGTGCAGTGGAAAGGGGCTTGGACCTACCTAGGCTCAGTGTGCTGGGCTCTGCTGACTCCCCACGGGAGACCTCGATTTGGGATATGTGGGAATGTGGGGTGGAGGTGGGAGGATCTGTGGGTGGCATGTGAAGTGAGTAGAAAATTTCTTATAAAAATAAAGAAAAATGAAAAAAAAAACCCTCAGCAAATCAACTGATGATGCCCCACCCCAATACCCTAGTATAAAGAAATGGATGCTGAGAAGTTACTAAGTAGCTACGCAACAGAATATTACAGTCACCAAGGCAGCAAAGAATGCTTTTGCTCACATGTAAATGAAGTTACCATAAAGCTTTCTGGAGTCAATGAGATGGTTCAGTGGGTAAGGGGGCTTGCTGCCAAGCCTGATGATCTGAGTTCAATCCTAGGCCCCGCCTTATGGAAGGAGAGAACTAATTTCTAAAAGTTGACTACCACATGCTGTGGCATTTGGGCACCCACATACATACCCATGCCCCACACCAACATACACACACAAAGATAAAGAAGTTTTTAAAAATCATCTTCTAAAAACTATATTGAGTCGGGCGGCAGTGCCACACACCTTTCATCCCAGCACTCGGGAGGCAGAGGCAGGCGGATCTCTGTGAGTTCAAGGCCAGCCTGGTCTACAGAGTGAGATCCAGGACAGGCACTAAAGCTACACAGAGAAACCCTGTCTCAAAAAACAAATAAATAAATAAATAAATAAACAAACAAATAAATAAATAACCTATATTAAAGCCTGGCCTAGTCCCACACATGCCTGTAACCCCAGCACTGAAGGGAGGGAGGGGCAGAGATAAGAGGGCCAGGGGGCCTTGCTAGCTGCCGAGCCTAACTGAAGAAATCAAGCTCCAGGTTCCGCACGAGACCCTATTTCAGAAGAACAGAGTGGTGGGTACTAAAGTGCCCCTCCAGCCCCCTCTGGCTTCTGTGCATGTACAGGTTCACACACACAGGTCCACACACATACCTCCACACATGCACAAACATCTCCTCCACATCTTAGTTAGGGTTTCTAGTGCTGTGATAAAACACCATGATCAAAAGCAATCCGAGGAGGAAAGGGTTCATTATTAATCTTACAACTTGGAGTTCATCATCCAGAGAGGTCAGAACAGGAACTCAAGGCAGGAACCGGGAGGCAGGAGCTGAGGCAGAGGCTGTGGAGAAGTGCTGCTCACTGGCTTACTCTCCATGGCTTGCTCAGTCTGCTTTCTCATAGAACCCAGGACCACCAGCCCAGGGGTGGGACCACCCACAAGGATCTGAGTCTTCCACATTAATCATCTGTCAAGAAAATGTACCACAGGCTTGCCCTCAGGCCCGTCTAGGGGGGAATTTCTTTACTTGAGGGTCCCTCTTTCCAAATGACTTTAGCTTGTGTCAAGGGATCACAAACCTGTCAGCACAGCATCTACACGCACATACACGAAGAATTTTAGGACTAGCCTTATGCTAAAGCAGAGCTGGAGATTTTATTACAGATTGAAGGAAAGGCACCCAAGGAGAGGACAAGCGCATCCTGAGAGGGCGTGGCTTCTCTGAGACAGACTCAGCAAGTGAGAAATACTCAAGTGGACAGTCTCCAAGAGAGAGGGTCACAACTCAGTCTCAACGTTAGCCATACGGACCAACGTTTTGATGGCTCAGGTTGTACCTTAAAAGGTTGCTAAGCCCCCTCCCCCCCTTTTCTCTGACTTTTAAGATATGTATGTCTGTGTGCATGTGTGCGAGTATGTATGAGCTAACGGGCAAGTAGATAGAATGTTGGTCCATATCATTGGCCTCTAGGGAGCCGTAAACTAAAACCACCTGATTGTAAGTGTCCATCATAAGGGGCTGCTGACTGTTGACATTCCCTCATAGAGGCGGGGGTGGTGGTGGTAACTGGACCTTCACCCAAAGTTCCAGCTACCCCTGGCAACCATTTTTAGTGTACTTGGGGCTGGGGAGGTGCTGGAGTATACAGGCCCAGGAAGGTGAACGCAAGTGGGGCTCCATCTAAGTGGCTGTAGGGAAGCCAACATCCACGCTGCCGTGAGACTTTCCAGTGCAGCTGCTTTGGGGTCACTCTAGATCCCCTAGGCCACCCCTCACCTGTGCTCTGTAAGTAATCAGATACTGTTTGCATCTCCCCAGGAGAGGAATTCCCACAACACAGGGAAACCTAGCCGCTGTCCTGTCAGGATGGCGACTGTCACAGAGACGGAAGATAACCTGGTATGGAGGGTGTGGAGAAAGGGATACATTGGTGAGAACGGAAACTTAACCCAGCCTCGTGGAATCCGGGATAGGGGCTGCCTCAGAAAGCCCAAATCTAGTGTTTCTCTGTATGGATCCGTTATTTTTCTCGTTGTGGTGACAAAACCCGACATGAAGCAACTTAAAGAGGGTTGTTTCGGCTCAGGGTGTAAGAAAGGATGTGACAACCGGAGCAGGCGCTGCTCACTCTGAGTCAGGAGCCAGGAAGCAGGGCCAGGCTACCAAAACGGCAAGGGCTGCTCCCAGTGGGGCAGTTCCTCCAGTGGGGCATTTCCTCCAGTGGGGCACTTCCCCCAGCGGGGCACTTCCCCCAGCGGGGCACTTCCCCCAGCGGGACACTTCCTCCAACGGGGCACTTCCCAGTGGTGCACTTCCTCCAGTGGGGCACTTCCTCCAGTGGTGCACTTCCTCCAGCGGGGCACTTCCCCCAGCGGGACACTTCCTCCAACGGGGCACTTCCCAGTGGTGCACTTCCTCCAGCGGGGCACTTCCCCCAGCGGGGCACTTCCCCCAGTGGGGCACTTCCTCCAGTGGGGCACTTCCTCCAGTGATGCACTTCCTCCAGCGGGGCACTTCCTCCAGCGGGACACTTCCTCCAGCGGGGCACTTCCTCCAGCGGGACACTTCCTCCAGCGGGGCACTTCCTCCAGCGGGACACTTCCTCCAGCGGGGCACTTCCTCCAGCAGGACACTTCCTCCAGCGGGGCACTTCCTCCAACGGGGCACTTCCCAGTGGGGCACTTCCCAGCAGTGCACTTCCTCCCGTGGTGCACTTCCCCCAGCGGGGCACTTCCCCCAGTGGGGCACTTCCCCCAGCGGGGCACTTCCTCCAGCGGGACACTTCCTCCAGCGGGGCACTTCCTCCAGCGGGACACTTCCTCCAGCGGGGCACTTCCTCCAACGGGGCACTTCCTCCAGCGGGACACTTCCTCCAGCGGGACACTTCCTCCAGCGGGGCACTTCCTCCAGCGGGACACTTCCTCCAGCGGGGAACTTCCTCCAGCGGGACACTTCCTCCAGCGGGGCACTTCCTCCAGCAGGACACTTCCTCCAGCGGGGCACTTCCTCCAACGGGGCACTTCCCAGTGGGGCACTTCCCAGCAGTGCACTTCCTCCCGTGGTGCACTTCCTCCAGCGGGGCACTTCCCAGTGGGGCACTTCCCAGCAGTGCACTTCCTCCCGTGGTGCACTTCCTCCAGCGGGGCACTTCCTCCAGCGGGGCACTTCCTCCAGCGGGGCACTTCCTCCAGCGGGGCACTTCCTCCAGCGGGGCACTTCCTCCAGTGGTGCACTTCCTCCAGTGGTGCACTTCCCAGCAGTGCACTTCCTCCAGTGATGCACTTCCTCCAGTGGTGCACTTCCTCCCGTGGTGCACTTCCTCCCGTGGTGCACTTCCTCCCGTGGTGCACTTCCTCCAGTGAGACGCCACCTCCCAGAAGTTCTGCAAGCTTCAGACACAGCGCCACCTGCTGGAGACAAAGTGTTCAACCCCGTGGCCTCTGCGGGATATTGGAAATTTAAACCAATCAATGAAGAGGACATGGGCACAGTGCTCGAAGGTGCTGGGCAGGGCCCCTGGGCGTCTGCAGAGGAAGTGGGGACTGAGGCCTGTCCTCCTCAATAGGCCCTAACCCCACCTTGAGCGCTTCTCTTTCTTAAAATCTGCAATCAGATGTGTGTGTAGAGATGCTGTGCTGGGCATAAGCTGGAGTCATCTGGGAAGAGGGAACCTTAGGTGAGGAAACGCCTCCACTAGAGGGGCCTGAGGGCAGGTCTGTGGTGCACTCTCTTGATCGGTGGTTGGTGGCGCTGTTTGTTCAAGCAGGGATCAGCAGGGCCATTGTGGACAGCCAGTACAAGACGGTAAAGTGTGACTGATGATATGGAGGAAGGAAGTGACTGACATCTGCAACACCCACGGCCTCTAAACACCAGGAGTGCCAGTAACGAGGACTTCCCATTCACCCTGCAGCCACCCTTAGTCCAGAGGAACAGGGAACCCACTTGTCCTCAGGACGCCCATAATGTCTGCCTCACACTAAAGATCAATCAGCAACACAGTGAACGTTTATACTGTTTTTAATGCTCAAAAGCTCTGTACAAAAAACAAAAACAAAAAAACCATAAAGGATTCCTCACAACATCCCTGTGAGGTAGGTAGGCAAGTATTATTCTCCCATTTTGCAGATGGGGAAACTGAGGGAGAGAGGTAAAGTGATCCGCCAGTGGTCCCAGCATATCTCCAAGTCAGTGCCAACCATGAGAGTGTGAAGGGCCCCTCTCTGGTCTCTGACTCCTTGGCTACTTATCTGAAAATAACTGATATGCACAAAGCAGACACCAGCAAACCTGAGAAGCCGTGAACAGACATACAGCAGCTTGCAAAAGAAGTTGGCTAAGAGGGTCACTACTTCCCCAGGCAGGAAACAACTTTTGGCCTCTTCAAATATTACAGCAAACAGCTGACAGGTCTTTCCACCTTCCTGCTGAAGGACAGGAGCCTCAGAGACTCATCCCTGTCCCCACAGAGTCAGACAGGTAACCAAGCTCCCAGATGTGCAACCCCTGGATGGAGCAAACTACAGACAGACCCAGCCAAGACTCGCCAAACACAGCCCTCTATGCTCGCCTTCCTACTGAGTGAACAAAACTGGTCAGAACTCAGCAGCGTCCCAAGGAAGCAGCTCAGGGGTCCCGGCAAGGGCGGACCTGGAATCTGAGGCCCGACAAGCCACCATGGCCCTGTCTGTCTTACCCTCCACTTCCTCCCAAGGGTCACCCTTGACCCTGCCAACAGGCTTCCGACACACAGCTCCCTCCTCTTCACGGCCTCACTGGCCTCCACCCGCCCTTTCCCCACACTGGGAGGGTCTCCCTGATATTTCCAACGCCCCGGGAACTTCCACCTCTGCCAGTCTAGAGAAGGAAGCCGGGGTGGGGAGGGGAGTGGGGGGAGAGCTCGCCTCACAGTCTTCCAGGCTGGCGACACTCATGAGCCAGGAGGAGCTGGGCAGAGCTGCCTTTAACGTGGACCTGCCCAGCTCGCCATCCCCTTCGCCTACCTCAGGCAGCTGCTTAGGTTGAAAGTGTGAGGAAGCAAGATGAAGCCAGCCAGAGGAAGGAAGTTTAAAAAAAAACAAGCCGGGCGGTGGTGGCGCAAGCCTTTAATCCCAGCACTCGGGAGGCAGAGCCAGGCGGATCTCTGTGAGTTCGAGGCCAGCCCGGGCTACCAAGTGAGTTCCAGGAAAGGCGCAAAGCTACACAGAGAACCCTGTCTCGAAAAACCAAAAAAAAAAAAAAAACCAAAAACAAAAACGAACATGGCCAGCCTGCTGCCCACCTAGGCAGTCTGATGAAGAGTAAGAAGTCTGAAGACAGTAAGAAGAGGACAGTGGTGGTGACTGGCTGTGTGGGGAGCGGACTCCCTGGAGGCTGTTCGCTAGCTGGTCTGTGAGGTACACATGCTGGGCCTTGCCAGAGGCCATTACATACCCCAAGGGTTTACAGACAATGGCTGTGCCATCTACACAGCCTACAAAAACCTCTTTCCAAAGGCTCTTGGCCCCTCAATCTCTCCAGGAAGCCGGCCAGTGTTCATCTGGAGCAAATGAGAGCCTCAGGCCCCCAGCCTGCCTGTCATGGAGCAAGAAGGAGGTCTACAGGAAGTCCCCGACGTCACAGGGCTCCGGGTCTCGGCTCTGCTCCTGCCAGCGGTGGCGGAGCCTTGACAGGGGCTGGTCTTCCACGCTTTCCAGCTCAGGGAAGCCCAGTTGGTTGAGGATCTCGTAGATGCCAGCTTTGGTTGCCACCTGGAGAGGGCAGAGATGGGGCAGAACTTCAGGGGAGTGAGACATCATCCGGCCAGCTTTCCTCATACCACCCTCCCCTGGCTGAGCTCTGAGGCACATGGGGGAAGTCTGGGGCCCAGAGCGGCCCTCGGCCAGCTCAGCGGCTACCACAAGTTTGCATGTCCATCTATCCATAACCACTCTGTTAGAGAGTCACTGACAGTCTTTTCTCCTGGGACTGCATGGAGCAGGCTGTGCAAGCACATGGGGCCCTGGACATGCCTGGGAGACCTCGGCAGCACTGGCCTGGCCACTCCAGCAAACCACATCTGGGCAGGGAGGCTGCAGAAGTGTGGATGCCAGAGCAGACGGCAGCCCTTCCCTTTGTCTGGGAGTTCAGCCAGCTTGGCTTTCTCTGCTCTGGACACTCAACACAGAGCTGGTGGCCCAGGAGCCTGGCCCTTGGCCCCAGGCTCCAACCATCCCCTACACCTTCTTGGGGACAACTCCACCTGGAGTAAAGAGATGCTGCTGTCCCTCTCGCTGTCCCCAGGGACCCTTGCCCCAGACAGCCTTTGTCTGTCCAGGAGAGGGGCTGAAGTCGCCTGAGTTAGAGTCACACTCCTGACTAAACCAGCATCTCTCCCTCAATATCCGTTCACATCCAGCCTGAGAGGGAGGTGGGGAGCAGAGCAAGGTGCCCCAGCCCTTGGTTTCCCTGTCCAAGAAGAACTCGAGAAGAAAGTGTCCCTGTCCCTGGCTGAAGATGTAGCTGCTAGCAGAGTGCTTGCCTGGTAAGCATGAAACCCCTGGGTTTGAGCCCCAGCAATATATAGGCCAACGTGGCATGGTGGTAAACCCCTGTCATCCCAGGAAGGTGGAGGCAGGAAGATCAAAAGTTCAAGGTCGGGCCGGGCGGTGGTGGCGCACGCCTTTAATCCCAGCACTCGGGAGGCAGAGCCAGGTGGATCTCTGTGAGTTCGAGGCCAGCCTGGGCTACCAAGTGAGTTCCAGGAGAGGCGCAAAGTTACACAGAGAAACCCTGTCTCGAAAAACCCAAAAAAAAAAAAAAAAAAAAAGTTCAAGGTCATCCTCAGCTACATAGTGTGTTTGAGGCCAGCCTGGGCTACATGAGACCCTCCCACCTATATTCCACCCCAGGGCTCAAAGAAGAAGCCAAGTCTGGGCCTGCTCGCCAAGATGGTCTCAACACGGCCCTCGTCAGGTCTTCTCACTCAATACTCACCCTTAAGTACAAAGATTCATTTCCCATGCTTTCCCACATTGACACCCGAGACCAGCCCCAAGGTGATCTCCTGCAGCCCGCATCCCCACATCCCTGTCTGTTCCCTGAACACGTCTCCAGCCAGTCCTGAGGCCCTGCACCTGTCCTGTACCCACTCTGAGTTCCTGGTTCCTGCTCTCCACCCACTCACATCCTGGTAGCTCACTGTGGACTTGAATCCAGACTAGAATGACTGACGGACGGTGAGTTTGACAGGGCCGGCTCCCTGGCTGAGGAGTAATTACAGGCTGCTTTTCTCTCTCTCTCCTGACCAGCAGGTGCCAGGAGGGACTGGAGGTCCAAGCAAAGAGGGGTCATGGGGCCATAGGAAGAGAGGCGCCAATGACCAGTTCCCATGACAACCATAAAGAAGTCCATGTAGGGGTGGTTGTCTGCGCTTTACCCCTGAAGCACCGCCCCTAGCAGGCAGCCGGTAACTGCTAGGTACCTGCCCCCACCACAGGGCGTGGCCAAGGGGGGACCCCTTAAGACCTGGAATGCATACATGCTTGCTCTCTTGGCTACCTTGTGGTCTTGGGTGCTGGATGCTGGTGCTGCAGATTAAGGCAGAGTTCTCCAGAGAACCGCGTTGGATGGTGCCCCACACCTCCTGGACCCTGCGACTAACTCCCTTATACATATTCTGGATTAACCCAGGATGAATCCCTTTGGACGATCAGACAGACTCCGTGGAACTGCCATTTTATCTGCCGCTTTATCCTTGAACCTCTGCAAGGCCCCTCTTACCTAAAGCACACCTGGATCTTGCCAGGTCAGGCAGAGGCACAACTCGTATGTCACCGAGTCCCTACCACCTTCCCCGATGACGCCAACACCATGGCCACTATTCCAGTACCGAAGACAGCCGACTTACAAGACTGGCCACTTTGCCCAAGGTCATGGGCAGAAGGAGACGGGTTCAGGACAAACAACCTTGCTCGTGGCCTTCATAGGGCACAGATGGGGGTCGAACAGAAGAGTGGACCCAAGTGCCCAGGCGTCCAGGCAGTGCGGGCCATGAGCCACACAGAGCAAGCTCCTAGCGGGCAGGCTGCCCTTCTCACACCCATCTCTCCCTCCCCCATCCATTCACTGACTCAGCTGTCACACTTACTGGCTGTCTGCCTGGTGAGACCCTAGGCAAGGGACACAGCAGCTGGGGTGGGACTCTCCCCATTCCATGGGGGAGCCTGTCACCTGGGTCCTTCCAGGGCACACTCGGGGGCCAGGGGCAAAGATACAGCCTGCCGTAATACCCATCACCCCGGGGCAGGCGTATTATCAGTCTCGGCCTCCTCTCTCACCTCCCGCATCCAGGTGCCGAAGGGCCTCTGCCAGGAGCTGGCCTTCTCCAGGCGGAGGTAGGCATTGAAGAGGATCAGGTAGATGTAGCGCTCCAGGTACTGCAGGCTCCTCAGCTGTAACCGCCGAGCCTCCTGGGCCTCTTTGGTGGCCTTTGCCTGGAGGACAAGAGGATGGTGTCAGCACGGAGCTGTATAACAACACCTCCATGCCCACTCACTGCCTGAGCACCCAGCGGAGTGATTTCAGTGGCAAGGCCTGGGGTACTGCTGCCTGGCTAGGCCACAGAGGAGACCCATGGGGACCAGTTCCTAGGGCGGGGGGCGGGGGGCGGGGAGGCTCTCAAATCCATTTCCTATTGAGAAGAAAGGCCTCTATTTCCCTGAAGATCATGCTGCTCCAAAGTCAGGCTGTCTGCTGAAAAGCTGGGGACATCTGAGGTATAGAGGGTTTGGATCCAGGCCCTCCCGAGGCTATCCTGTGTTTCTGTCTCTCTCTCTCTCTCTCCCCTCTATATTTCTATCTAAATCTCTTATCCCTCACTCCTAAAGAGTACCCTGGGGAAAAAAGGAGGGGGCGGGCCCCCCACAGTGGGGTTCACAGCCTCACTGCTCTTAAGAACCACAGGGAACCTTAACATGCAAGCGTCTGGGTTCAGCCCAGATCAGCCAGTGAGGGTCTCAGAGGGGTGGGGTGTGGGCACCACGGGATTCAACATGGAAGTCATTGAAGGCCTGGTAGCGCCAGTAGCCTGTCGGAGGAAGACACTGTGGGAGATGCATTCTCAAGGTTCTCCTCCGCAGGGAAACAGGCCAGGGACACTCACAAGATCTGGGACACACAGCCAGCCCCGCTCTGTAGGGTGGTCTGCCTCCATATCCCCGTCTCCTCCTCTGCCTACTATGGGTGTGCTGCCCACACAGCTATGGGAAGGAGTCCCAGAGGGGGAAGGCCACCCAGACCCGTAGTATCCGATCCTCACACCCTCGGGCCTCCACCCAGGCCCACCGGGGCTCTCTGATCTAGAAAAAAAAAAAAGTGTGGCATGGGATGTCTTTCTAGTGACAGCGCTATCTGTGGGCGGGCACAGCAAGCTCCGAGGGGCCAGGACGGGCTGCTCTCCCAGCAGCTGGGCCACAGATGGAAGCCCTGCCATGAACACACACACAGTGCCGGCCTACACACTCTGGGAAAACTCCAGGGTTGTCCCCACCCCAGACATGACATGGCCCGGCATCCTAAAACTCACAGCTGGAGAGGGGCCTACACAGGACCAACTGAGCTTTGAGAGCATGGGGAGGGGTGGTAACTGGCAAAGCTGGGGACCCTAGGGAGGGATGCCGGGGGGGGGGGGGGGGGGGGGAGTGGGGGGAGCGGTACCAGAAAGGGCTTGAGAACAAGAACAACAGTGTCCCGGATCTCTGAGAGACAGCGAGGCTCCCAGGATGGCGGCCATTCCACCCTTAGCCTGCACATCTCAGGGGACTGGTGAGAAGGCACGTGTGACCCACACTGCCCCGCCCCCCCAAGTACAGGTCTGAAGCCACAGAGGTGAGTGCCGCCTGCCCTGGCCCCTGGGAGGGTCCAGTGGCTGTGTCAGGAAAGGAGGGGGAAGGGCAGAAAGAGGAAAGAGACCATAGGGTGGGTGAGGAAGAAGATGCAGCAGGCACCAGGGGGGTAAGCTGGGGTCAGGAGGGAGGTGTGTCCCCAGGGTAAAGGAGACAGCTTGACGGTCGGTCGGGCTAGCAACGGCGGAAGACAGGGTGGTTAGTTTTGACTGCTGTGGACTCCGACACAATGTAGAATCCCCTGGAAAGAGAGACTCAGTGAGGAAGGGTCTAGATTAGGTTGGCCTGTGGGCATGGCCGTGGGGAAATTTCTTAATTGGGTTAGGTGGGGTGGGGAAACCCACTCTGAATGGCGGCGGCGGCACCGTATTCATTCATTGCATTCGCTAGGCCCTGCAATAGACGGGACAGGGAGAGAGCTAGCCGAGCACGGCCGTGTATTAATTCAATGCCCTCTGGTCTTGACTGCGGGTGTGATGATGGTACCAGCTGCTTCAGATTCCTACAGCCTCGGCTCCCCACAGTGGAGGGCTGCGTCCAGGAACCACGGACGCACCAACTAGAGCGAGCCTTTCTCCCTCCCGGGCCTCTGTCAGGGTATCTTATCACAGAAGCACGAAGGGAAGCCAAGACACGGGCTCAGAGCTTGGGGGAAGCCAGGACAAGAGGGTCGGTCCTACACACGAAGGGCCAGAGCAGCTGCCTGTAGAAGAATACACGGGGCAGGGGCGCGAGTTTCACACTATTTGAAGGATTAACATCGCATGCTCCGAAAAATCAATTTTGATTATAGGCAGCAGATGTTAGGGAAAAGAAATATATAAATAGAGGGAGTTTGCTTAAAGGTAAAGCACGTGGGCCAACGCAGTCAAACACAGACACCATGTTTGACTCACAGGATGGTGAGCTGGTCCACACTGCACGGGTCAGGTAGCCCCCATCCCTCAGTCGGCCTCTCCTCTCCCAGTCTCCTCTGGACCCTGGAGTGTTTTCAGGAGGACATGAGTCACCCACAGCGCTCCTTGGAAAAGCCATTTTAAATAACTGCTTCCAACCAAGGCTCAGGAGAAAGGCCCCGCTCTCACCTGGCCACAGCCACACCATACCAGCACTGACCCAAGACACCAGCAAGGATGACTGAGGTCTGAGGTACATCCGGCAAAGGGCAGAGGGAGTCTTTCTCCTTACCACCAAGGGTAGAATTATCTCTAAATTCGGACGCTGTGCGAGGATGATGCCTGGCACCCCCAGAGGTTCCCACGGACACATCCTGCCTCTGGCCACAGGGCTGTGATTTGAGACAATGGCCCATCTGCCTGTCACAGCCCGGTTTCCTTAAAAGCACTCCATGCTGGCACAGTTCCGGGAGAGGGCACCCGGCCACCTCCAGTGCGTAAAAATAGCCAAGCTGTTTTTAAATGGTCCAGCAGGCCAGGCTGTCATTAGCTGCCATGAAGCTGGACAAAGGCTTCCTGGACCCTTGGGACTCAAAACCTAAAATAAAAGGGGCCCAGGAGAGATGCCAGGGCTGCGCGGACCACAGGCTTCACCTCTGGCCTGTCTAGCGGGAATATAGGGTCTGGCCGGCTCTGTCAGTATGCCTGTCTGAGCTCTCTGCTGGGCCACCAAGAGTAAACGTGAGGCTGGCCTCTGTGCCTTCATCCACACTCTACTTCTTCTGCCCGAATCGCCCCTTCCTCTCCACCTACCTGTCTTAGCCACAGTCAGCTTGTCCCCCCAGGCTCGGGACCAGCCCCTCTCCACAGCCTGCTCTGAGCACTCCAGGACCCACAATCACCCCATCCTCGGCCTCCTTTGCTCTCAGTCCGAACCATTTCACTAAGGCGGGGTTTCTAATTGCTTCATGGAGGTGGGACCTGCCTCCCCAAACAATGATGATAAATGATGACGTCCAGGGTGGGTGGGGGTTGTCACCAGCTTTCTGCCTCTCTGGCCCTCACTCCTACCCCAAAAGGTCTGCATTAGTGCTTGGGATGCAGCAAGTCCTTGGCTGGCCAGTGAGCGCCCTCCCCTGTCGTCCCCTCCCGAGGCAGTTTCCAGTAGCTTTGAGAATCTAGATTCTAGAAAGATGCTGGGACACCCTCTCCCCCAATACACACACTTACATACATATGCCTTTGATCAGGGGCCTGCACAACACTCCAATGGATATCTGTCAGGTACCCCAACTCATCACCCATGTCCTCCTGAGAATGCTCACGCACCAAACCATTACACCCATAAGTTTGCCATTTTAATGGCGACTGCCTCCTTCCGGCAATGGCCATCCGGCTACACATTCAATTCTCCCTTTCTTGATTTGCATCTCAACCAGGGAATCCCACTGGCTCCCCTTCAACGCTCTTCCAGAGGCTCCCAGCCACCCTATCCCAGGGACAGTCCCTGCCTGGCCTACCTCCCTGCCCCAGGGCCCTTCCATCATTGGAGAAGAACGGCTTGTCCTGGAAGACCATCCCAGCCGACTAAGCAGCAGAGGAACAGCAGACAGACAGGTGTCCCATGTATGCAAATGTTTATTCCACCTGCCATCTACCTACCACCCACTCATTAGACACACTGCAGAGGCCTGCTGTGTGTGGCAGGGGCCTGGGAGCTGGGCTGTGGAAGTGAGCCTAGGCAATGAACGAAGGACTCCCCAGACAGTGAGAGCTACAAGCAGAGAGGCAGGTCTCAGTGAGATGATGCCTGGGCCAGGGGATGCCGGAGTTGACCCTGGGACCCCCGCTAAGTCCAGTGGTACACAGAGAGCATGCCAGGCACAGCACGAAAGTTCCTTGTAAGGCCGAAAGGTTTCCAGCCCCGCAGCCAGCAAACACGGGAAGGCAGGGGAGTGAGGATCAGTTGCCAACAGGGGCCCTCTTTACACAACGGAAACACACTCGTGAACACTCACACTCACAGACACGCGCACACAAACTCTGTTCGGCAGCTGCACCAATTCCACTGGCTCTATTCTGAGCTGGCCGTGAAGAGCCCAAGGAAGCAGCCCTTCCTCCTGTCACATCTTCTATGACAGTCTATGACATTCCGAGGCTGCTCTAATTACAGGGCTGGGCCCTGGAGACTCATTACCGACTGGAATGAGGTCTCTGGGGACAGTGTGGCCCGAGTGTTAGAGAGGCTGAGACCCACCAGGGCTCAGCGCCTGAACCGCCTCACTTCCTGTTTTTCTTAGGAAATGACTTTAGTCTTTGGGGCACTGAGTGGAACTCTCTGCCTCACGGCAGCTCCGGTTGGCTAGGCCTATTCCGCATCAACGAGACAGACAGCGCACACAGAAGCAGCCACGGCTTCCTCCATAACCCTTCCTCCTTTGGATGCCATGAAATTGTCCCCTGGGTCCTGATTGCCACCATGGAGGGAAAGGAGGATAGGACAAAGTAGCAGAGACTTCCAGCCAGGTACAAATCTTCCTCAGGTCTCAGTTTCTTCCTCAGTAAAATGGGTCTAATAAAACCTGCCCTGACTTCCTTTCCTCTCTGAGGGCTGGAATGGACGAGCTCTAAGTTCTCAGAAAACTCAGTCAAAGCAGTGTGGTCTCTGTAAAGTATCCTGTGGAGAGCAAAGGG